AACCCTAAATCTAATTTCTAACCTTAACCATCAACTGTAAATCATAGTTCTAATTCCTCGCACTGGTTTTTAACCTTCATTTGATCCTAGTTATGAGGTGAACACTCTCAAGGTCACTTTAATATCACTCAAAGACCGTTCATAAATCATAGTCTCATAGTTTAATCAATAAACTATCATAACTAATTATTTAATGAATTGAGATTTCTCATGAAGGTGAATAGCACAATTTGAACTACATTGTACATGTTTAAGCTTAATAAGTAAAAAGAATGCCATCTAAAGTTTAAATGTATATACATTTATTAGATAAAATTATTTTCCCTACTGAATTAAGAGTTCGGTCAAAAAATCGAATTGTACATCGAGTAAGTCATATAGCAACTGTTCTATAACCAGTTTCAATTATGGTTAATTTTGGTTAAGCCCTTTTATCAACTTACTTAACAGACTATGTTATTTGAACAGTAACAATTCTCATATTCTTTTGTACATGTGTGATCACTAGATCGCATGACAGACTAGCTAAAATGCTGATTGCTTAAATATCACTCGATGATTCATCCTTCTCCCCATGTATATATGTACTCAAATTATATTATTAGCCTTTGGTTTGCCTTGCTGCGCCCTTATGCTCTTTGACTATAAATGTACCTATGTATTTGCTCGCATATACTTATTCGCTTCTCCGCTTCAAATACGCTCGATGTGTTTATACCTTTGTGATATGCGCTATCTGCAAATAAACTGTAGTTGCCGCTTCTCTTTGCCTTCTGATTTCAAACACCGTTGAAGATGATATAATAACGGTTACAAGGGTGATTGATTAGCGAAACAAAGCCAGTCCAGTCAGATTGTGTGCATATATCATAATTTTGTTTTCTAAAAGTTACACGATAAAAAACCATTATACTTTGGTTAGGTATTTCTTTTATGGTATGTGCAGTTTTAGAAAAAAACAAGGAAATCAAATAACTGACATGACGTTTTTCGCTACTTATAGTCAACATGTTTTATAAAACATTAAAAAAAGGTATTTTGCAGAGTTCTTTCATGTAACATTAGAAATATCACTTCAGTGAATACATTTCTATTATGTCATCAATTTATTTTAAATATTATGTCAATGTTTACTATCAAAAATAATTTGGAATCATCATTTATAAATTTTCTAGATTACTTTCATTTGAAGAAATGATGGATGGTGGCTAGCAGTGGAATTTACGATGCACGTCTCATCCTATTTAGGACTCGTCAGATGCATGTAACTGCATCATAGAGTTGACGTTCACTCCGGGACTTAAACCAAGTATCGTTCGCTTCAAAATCATTTGTGTTATCCACTTAGCTATTGAATCCTGATAGCCATTAACTTGTTCAGTGGGGTGAAGTTTAATTTCTCTTGATATTGTTTGCTTGAATCTTCCCATTGTTGTTAAGGTCTGGAATTGGTCAGTTTCTTGTTGTCATATGTGTATCCTGTGCTGATTGCCTCGATATTGCCTAAAGTGACGAGTATTATAAGCGAAGATGAATGGTGGCTAGAAGTGGAATCAAAGATGCGTGTCCTATATGTCAGCAAGAGACTGGCCAATTTTAATCCTAGACAACAATGGGAAGATACAAGCAAACAATACTAAGTGGATTTGTTTTCATTTAAAAATGATTTTCAAAATTGCTTACATTTTTGTAGTTGAATATAGTTTCTTTTTTATTTTTAACATTGATGTATTGATTGTTCAATATAGCATGTTTTACTATTGTCAATTTTATTATTGAATTGCACAGTTATACAGGATTTTTTAAGATACATTTGTATATAGCTTATGTGTACTTTTGAGTTTGTTTCACTTTCACAAGAACAAATGGACAGCGAGATGGCATTTGAAGCGAACGGTACAGGGTTCGAGTCCTGGAGTGAACATTAACTCTGTGATGCAGATACATTCAGCTGACAGGTTCTAAGTAGGACAAAATGCGCATCCTGGATTCCACTCCTCGACGATATCCATCTTTACTTCAAAATATCTGTTATATTCTTGTCTTCCTTTTATTAAAATTTTGATTTGACGCGTTTAGCTGCTCTTTTGAATCAATATAGTACAAGTGAAATTTCAGGGTTGAATAAATGTGAGGAATTATAACCTATTTATGGGTTCCAATGTGTCGGTTTACAGTAGGTAGACGGATTAAGAGTTCTATTCAGAAAAACGTTCTTAACTAAGCCGTTTAAGAGTATTATTTCATCATGTTCAGTTTTATTTTCGAAAGAGAATTTCATGTTATTCGGTTATGTATTTAATAGTGTTAGGATAGTCGGAAAAATATACCAATTGTTATCGTGTTAAGTCTATGGTGGCCTTGGACCTTAAATGTACATTTCCTATTGGTCGATGTTTATTTCAATTGTTAAATATTGTGTAAATGTTGTTCTCTATTTTATGGTACGATGTGGTTTGTTTGTTTGGTATATAAATAGAGTATGTCTGAAATACAATGATTCATAACTCAGAGGCTGTGAATTGTGTTCTTGACTCAACTGACTAGGACAGACAGCGAAGCAGGGCCAATCAGGGCACTAGGTCGTCCACTACGTGTTTTCCGTGTCACTGGGATCGATCGATAAATACGCTGCTTATCAAACCCTGCAGTCACCCGTTACAACAATTAGTTTTCGAAAAAGTACCTAAGGATATATTTTTTTAAGTACATGAAATCACTTAAGTCGTAGGTCATGAAAATACCATGGATTACAAAACATTTTATAATTGAAATATTTCTATATATCACAGAGTGAATTTAATTTGTTCTCCAGAATTAGAATGAAACCCATTACCAACCCATTCTAACCAGTACTGACTTTATAAATGAGTATGGAAATCTTTGAACAAGCAAATACAGTTTACAAAATCTGAGAATAGAAAGTGATAGAATGCATATATGATCTCATTTTAAGAAACATCGAAACGTCTCCTAGTATATGTATTGAAAGCATACTTCAAGAACGCATTAATTAGAATCGAGGATGCAGTTGTTAAGTTTTCACTTATAATTAAAGTACCACGTATAACGATAAGTAGAAATACCTTTGTATACTGCTTAAAACGTTTTAAAAAAATTGGCAAAAATTATTTTTACAACCAAAAAGTAAAAATGGTAGGGTTAGGCCTACCAAATGATCAATTTTTGTCTAATTTAATTATATACAACTGGCAAATCTACTCTATCCTTAATTCGTAACCCTGAATCCTTGGTTATAAAACATTCGTTAGTTTGGTGACACTAAATATTATAGGTGAACCAACGAGGTAAAGCGTCTTGTATTTTTTGAGTGAAATCCAGTCATCCATATGACACAGCAAGATTACATTAAAACTGATATCCATTCAGGAAGAAAAACCTTAACCCTAAATCCCTAACCATGTCACGAAATATTTAACATCAACAAGGAACAATGTGGAAACTCCTAAAAATATCTTCAAGTCGTTGTACAAGTTCAAGAATATGGACAAACTGTATTCATCAGGATGAGGTTGTATGTCATAGTTTTTTGAACTGATAGGCAGTAACCTGACAAAGCCTTGGTTATACATTTTATATATGCGAAATCTCTTCATACTATAATGCTAATATTTCCTTTCTTATAAAATATGATTAAGCTTATAAATATATTTTCTATAAGGTTGATTATATTTGGTACTTACAAATATTCAATGAACACATAACATTTTCTAATGCATAATCATTTCATTATTCAGTATTATATAGAAACAGTATGGAAAACATCACATTCCAATGTTCATAAGTAAGTAAATAAATTTCAAAACTAAAAGTGTATTGAAAAATACTTTCCAACTGTAAATATACGAAAAGATTACTTTTTTTGTCATTTTTCCTTTCCAAGTATCTTTACATTTTATTACGTATATTTATGTACTACAAATTTTACATTTTTCTAAACAGTCATCTGGAATTCAGTATTACAGATTCTTGAATTGAAAATTATTAACTTTACTCATTATTAACTAATTTATAGAGAATTCGAGGTTTGTTCTTTTTTAATAAAGACTATACTTTAAAGATAGTTCTTTTTGATAGTTGAATTCATGAGTCGATTGAAGCTAGACCACCATGGAAAACTTGTAAGCACTGGACGGCCGTTTCGTCCCAGTACGTGACTTCTCAATAGTGCGCATCCACGATCCTGCACCGCGAGATTCGAACCTAGGATCTATCAGTCTCATGCACGAATAATTAACCTCTAGATTACTGATCTAACCGGCGTTCAGCGGTGTCTAACTTCAATTAATACACAAAATTAAGCGACACGTCCACTATTGTCTTCATTGAGTTACTATCTCACAACAGACCCGATTGAACTCCACTGGTTACGCTTCTCACTAGAGCTCCAGAAAATACCTCTTGAAGCTAGTCACTAGTGAGCATAGGCTGATCAATATCATGAAGGGGTTTTTGTGAATATTATAGTAATTTAATAGTTGAGACCATGAAGCTAGACCACTATGGAAATCAATTGATTAGGTTACAAACAATTGCAATTAAGAGGTACATCGATTCTGAAATGAATTATTTTCAGTAAAATTTGACTTGAATCAACTCAAGAATGGATTATTTGATAATTTTCATTGTAAATTTTGTTTAACCGTATGTGAATTGTTAAAATAGTGTGTTAAAAAACTCACATTTTCAATGGTTAATTCTCAAATTCATAAGTATCCACAGTTTTATTATTATGTATGTTGTAACGGGAAGTAAATCGGTTACTTGTCATTAGTTGAATACTAGACCTTCACGTTTCACAAAGTGCGTTTAACCACTGGACCACTACATTTACGCATGATAGTTAAACTTTTCATGTTTGATCTACATACAACAAGGTTAGATGATCATTCAATCAAATTAGTAACTATCATTTCAATCTCCACATGGTTAAACTTTATATATATGTAATAAAAAAAATAATAAAGTTATCAACTTACCATTTAGATATTGTTGGTGTTACAGATCTACCAGAAACATATGCATTAATTGCTACAATTAAATCAATTAATAATGGTATAATAGTTAATGCTAAAAACCAAAATCTTCCATCTTGTTTCTCTTTTACAACACTTACAATAGCTGTACATGTAAAACATATAAATCCAATACGTACAATTATTGCTCTAAATGCAATCACTAAATGTACAAATGTAATCCAACTTTTCCAACAATATTTACCATATTTATGTGTTCTCCATGATGGTATATGTGTATTGGATTTAGTTAATATAATATTTGAATGAATATTTTTACTATATTTTCTTATATTTGATGATTTTATTGATTGATTAATTGATGAATTAGATGGTTTAATTTCTAAATAATTATGAATTGATTCAATCGATAAATTATCATCATCATTATTATTATTAGATTGATTATTATTGATTATAGAATTTTGTGAATAATCTATAATAGGATCTGTTTTATGAAAATTTTTTGAATGATTTTTAGTTACTGGGGTAGCTGGTTGAATTTCTATGATACATGATGGTTGCATGATTTACAAATTTATTGATTAAATTGATTATTTAAATAAGATCCTGTATTTTTTTTAAAAAAAGAAGGAAAAAAAAGAATGTCACTTAATTCTAGTGAATAAATCATATAATTTTACTGATTGAAATCATGAGTTAATTGAAGCTAGACCACCATGGAAAACTTGGATGCACTGGACGGCCGTTTCGTCCCAGTACGTGACTCCTCAATAGTGCGCATCCACGATCCCGCACCCCACGAGATTCGGACCCAGGACTTATCGATCTCGCGCGTGAGCGCTTAACCAACTAGACCACTGAGCCGACATCCAACTGTGTTAATGTCTGACTTTAACCAATCCACGAAATTGCGCCAACGTATATCATTGTCTTTAGTGAGTTGATATCTCGCAACAGACCTGGTTGAACTTCACTGGTAATGGCATCTCACTAGAACTCCAGGAGTATCTCTTGAAGTCAGTCAGATGCTTATTATCAGAAGGGGTTCTGTGGAGATTTTAGAATACTAGGACGAAACGGCCGTCCAGTGCTTCCAGGTTTTCCATGATGGTCTAGCTTCAATTGACTCATGATTTTAATCACTGAAAATTTATAAAATCTCCACAAAAACCCTTCTTATATAATTTTATGTTATGTATTTAATTTACTCACTTGTTCATACATTAGTACTGATTAAATTCAACATATTGAATTGTAATGTTGCTACTAAGTTAAAATAAATGCTTTAGGCTGTAACACAGGTTTGAATCCTTTTGAGAACTTAATAGCTTATAATTTCAGATAAACTTTATAGACAACTATCTATTATCTTAAAACTTAGATGCACAAATTTTTACAAAGTTGTTCATGTTGATTATTCGTTAGGTATTGCTCTTTAGTTACAACTACAGATAAGACATTGATAAAATACTGTGTATTACCATTTACATTATTTAATATGCAAGATATCTGATGTAAAGTTAGTCCGTAATTATTACCATTCTGTAGCTTCTACAAACGTCCAATTTAGATATCGAACATATGGTGTTAGATTACGAAAAGACTATCTAATTTTAACTAATATTGAAATCTTTTTGTGCAAGTTATTCAAACAAACATTTATTCGATTATATTGAGTAGATAATGAATTTTGATTTCATAGTTTATTTCGATTATGTGATTAGAAGTATCTCGATTAGTCTGAAAGTGGTATTCATGTCCTGATAAAACATGCAACCTTTATGATACCTCAAGTAATATGGAATCGATTCTTAGTAGGATAATATAGCTGTATGTAGCCAATAGTTCTCAAACTAGGTTGTAATACCTATATGGTTATAATTGATTTTTAATTGCTGATCCATTGAAAAATATTTCTACACTAATATCAACTTACAAAAACCATTAAATATTGTAGGAGACATATGATTTAATTTTAAACTTCTATAATAATTAACAATGATATTTATTTGACATAGAGTCTCGTTAATTACATCAAATAACTGTATTCTGTATTTGAATGAAACGTATAAAAGTAGGTATATGAAGAGTTCAAGGAGGCTTATATTTTACAATAACTGAATTTTCCATCAATCTATATAACAATACCGTGATAAATAATTGAAATTCATTTTAAGCTCAATCCTGTGAATGGATTGCTTATTTAAGTCAAGAAAAGCATATTCATCTGTCATTTGCATTGATAATCCTTAATACATTTTTAATTCCAATACCAATAACAAAATGTTTTTTTCTAGTAATTTCTGTTTCATATTTCCAAGTATATATATTTATGTATTTATTTGATGTCACATAATCTTCACCAACTGAGATGGTTGGGTCAGGTATTACTCATGCCTGAATACCGTTTACCACGACGCGCAATGCTGACTAGTGTTGGAGATTGGTAAAAGAAAGTTAGGGGTGGCCAAACAAAAACGTGATATTAGTGCTTGAAAACACTGACTTCTAGTCTGAGCCATGTTAGCAGATGCAGACTACTTGGTTGGGATCCGCGTGACCATCGCAACTAATAGTTGGATACTCTGGGTGACATGGCTCAGAATCGATCACAATGGCGTAGGTGTACACACACTTTGTCTGCCCTTAAACCGTGAGATTAAAATCTCTCCATATCTTTCTTTCTACGAACTCGATTCAATCAAAAAATTATTTATGCGCTCAAATTTCTTGGTAATTGTATCGACTGAGCATATCGTCCTAGCTCTATTTGCTAGACATTGATTAGGTTCCTCTTATAATGAAGGGGTACAAAGCTTAAGAAATGTGTATACTGGCTTGATGAAGAACTTTTCCTATACACACTTCTACTGATAGAACAATTTCCTTTTCTGTTTAACAAGACGTCAAGGAAATGTAGTTTATTATCTAATTCTTCTTCACATGTAAATTTAACTGCTGAATGTTTGTTGTTAAATAGTTCTAAGTATTCCTCTTTTCCAATGTTCTGATCGACAATAATAAAAGTATCATCAACGTAACGAAAATTGAAGTTAAGCTTATCAATAACCTCTTTGATAGGTCCGTTTTTTAGTTTCGCAAGGAAAAAAAACAACAAGGATAATACCTAGAGCTGAACCCATCCTTATGCCAACAATTTGTCTATAATATATGTTATTAAAGACAAAATGGACATTAATTGTACATTTCAGAAGTAATTCTTCGAGACTAACCTCAAGAATTCCAATGTTGATCTGTTTTTCAAGTAGTTGTTGGCACATTATTCCTATGGTTTCAGCTATATGTAGGAGGCGGGAACGAACTCCGTTGGGAAATGATGGAGGTATACGATAGATCACTTGAAATGACTTCAATTTATCTACAGCATGATTGCTATCACTAAGATGTTCCAAGATAGAACTGTGAATTGTGTTTCATCTGACCCATATTGCCTTGAATGGTTTAACATTTTCGTATAAATATTCATGTATATTAGAGTAAAGCCTGATGACGATCTAATTGAAAACAATTGTTCGCTTATATGTGTTGTTCTATTCTTATTATGTTTACTAATGCATGTTAATGATTATTATATATTGATATACTTGTTTAAATAGTTACTGGGTCAATTTCACATTTTTAAAACTGTTTCTGGGGTAATAGTGAATTTGGTTATTTTGTGTATTTTTTTTCTTTCCTATTCACACTACGCTTTACAGTTGAACCAATAAATACGAATCTTTTTTCTCAGTAATAAACGACAACAACAACAACAAAAGAAAGAAAAACAATGATCCACAAAATCATTTCGTAAATGATGATACAACTAATTCAAATACCTTTTGCATTTTAGTTAATTTTATAAATTATATTTAATTTGTAAAGAAATAAGTACAAAACAATAATAAACTGTTATGTTTATGACATAATTAAAGAAATTTTTACACTATAAAGTGGTTACTGTTTTAGATCAAAGAAAACTGATTCTTATTTGTTTTATATCAGATTGTTGAAATTTAGTTCGTTCAAATTTTTTTTCTAACGGAGGTAAAAAAACATGTTGAAATCATAAGTCAATTGAAGCTAGACCACCAGATAGGGTTTGTTGTGAGATATCAACTCACTAAAGACAATGGTGTACAGTGGCGCAATTTCGTGGATTGGCTGAAGTTAGATATTAACACCGCTCGCGCTCGCGCGAGAGACTGATAGGTCATGGGTTCGAATCTCGTGGGGTGCGGGATCGTGGATGCGCACTGCTGAGGAGTTACGTACTGGGACGAAACGGCCGTCCAGTGCTTCCAGGTCTTCCATGATGGTCTAGCTTCAATGGACTCATGATTTCAACTATTAAAATTTTTAAAAAAGAACTCCACAAAACCCCTTCTGATTAAAAAAATATGTAACTGATTTATCCGATGTGTAATTAATCTATTCATGAAATTGGCACAATATTACCAATTTCTATATACTAGTTAAGTAATATTGATTCAAGTTTTTGAAGAAGAGTGAATTTCCTATACGTTTTAATGTATCTGATTTATTCATGATTGTCAATAAGAATGAAGCTCATAATTAAGTTTTTTTATTGATTAGATTAATTGTTTATTATGTTGAATGCATTACATTTTTTCATAAATTCTTAGTTTTCATTGGCTCTCTATCTAGCACCAGTCTTTGATTAACAGTAAACAAAGTAGTCATGAAATTACATGAATGGATCATAATCTTATATTTGCCATTGACTAGCGATGAGATAAATTTCTTCAAGCTCTAACGAGAAGCTTCAATAAGTGAAATCAATCATTATGGGACCGAGACAGTGACTCATCCGTAAAAGGGTATGATTATGAGATTGAAGTCATGAACGTATATTGCTAAATATTTAGCAGAGAGCTGTAATGTATCATATGAATCACTCTGCTTTTGATTCCGTGTAAAGTTTCAAACTCGAAGAAAATAGCTTCCTTATTCATAATAGTTTACAAGACAAGAATTTCAAATATACAAAACATTTATTTAATAGTCATTACCTTGTGCCTTTCGTCGTCTGTATGATTTATTAATTTCTTTAGACGATTTTCGAATTAAAATGCCAGGTTTTTAAAGATTGTTCCTAATGTATTAATTTCTATGTCCCAACAGACTATAAATGTACTGGTTTCGAACTATGAGAATGTACTGTACAGCATTGGGAAATAGTACAAAGATCATAACGTGACTTTAGTCACTTGATAGTGAATGTTTTGCCGAATTTCTTGTTTTTGAGCTGATTGTTCAATCTGATGTTAGTTTATTTTTAAATTAAAAATGTAAGGTTTCAATAGCTTTTTTAAAATAAAAGTAGTTTACGTCGCAGGTTCATGTTAACTAAGTAACAAACCAAAATGGAGGAGCGCCAAATAGCTTATTTGCTACAGTATCGGCATCTTCAGTACTAAGATGAAATTACTGTTTAATGTTTTCTTATTTTCAAAGATTATCAAGCTAACGGAAAAATGGTGATGTGAACTATTTTTAGTTTGAACAGTCTCCATAAAATTTCTACACAATCATTAATTGA